AAATATGTCTTGCTCCAAGAACACATTTTGTTGTGGAGGTGTTGTGAACCCGGCTCCAAGCTTCAACAGTTCGCTCCATAAGCTCCCTGCTCCAGTTCAGTTACTGTTTGAGAGGGGGAGGGGGAGGGGGAAGGGAGTATTAGAGGGAGAAAGGGGCAGGGTGGTAATCTTAATTCTAAAACTATGAGATTAAGCACTGACTTCTTTTTAAAAAAAATTTAATATATACATATACAATATATATACATATACATGCACTTTTTATATAAAATCTGAAGGTTAAAAAATTGAAAAAATAGAAATTGAAAAAACAAATAAAGAAAAATAAAAAACAAATTATCAATGAAATGAATATATGGTGTAATACAGTTAAATCTTAAATAAGCCATACATCGAAAGAATTCATGAAATGTCGTATTCTTCACTTTCTGATAATGGAATGTTGCAGATATTTTGCTTTATAATTAAATGATTATATGGAGCTCTTTGAAATTTTTCCCGCATATTCATGACTATTTATTTATTTTCGCAAGTACTGAGATTTACGTAAAATAGTAAATAACCCATTAAAAAATTTAGATTTAACTGTACAAGTTATGACAAATATATGGCGAAATAAATGTCGTCTTTGTGTTTTCTTTTAACTTTTTTATTTTGTAACTTTTATTCCACTTTGGAAAAGGGTTGTCTAAAAATGTGAGATTCGATCTACTTTTTTAAGACCCTGTACAAATCAAAATTTTTTTAATATAGTGGTCGGCGATAATATCAATACAAAGAACACCACTTTCGATTTAAATTTTCATTTATATCAAGCTGGATACACAAAACATTAAACTCAAGAAAGGCTGTCAATTAAAAAACTTCTCTTAAATTACTTGTAAACTTGTAATTCGGAAAAGCTTGTTTAACAATCAAAACTAAAAAATAAAATGTTCGTCTTTATTGTATTGATATCATAATCTACCACTGTATATGAATTTCTTCTGTAATGTTAGCTATATGTAACACAATGATAGAGGGTTCAAATAACTTGTAACTGGCTGGTTTCCTATAAGTATCCAGCGTGAGTAGAAGAATGGTAGGATAAGGGTTGGTAGGAAAGTTATGAAGACGAGAATACCGTAGGCCAGATCATATGCAGATTCATTTTCATAAGTTTCAACCACAGAATACCGCACCAGCCTACATAGTACACACTACATATGTTAGTAATTTATTAAAGGGACTGTAAGAGTAATTTCAAGTGACCCTCCAAGGCAAAGAGGGCAACGCCCGATTTATATCGGTACCCATTGAACCATTGAAACCATTGAAAGATTATTTCTTTAAAAATCACTAGCTTGAGAATAAGAACCCAGCGTTGCCCAGGGTAATCATAGTTTCTTCCGCCGTTTACCCGCGCTAAGTCATAATTTACAATTTTAGCTTTTTTCCCCTATTAAAGTCGACCCACTCAACTTAGAATCTCAAAACCAAGCTAAGAACATTCCCGTGGTTCTTCCGAATTCCCCATCAAAATTTGAGACAAATTGGTCAAGGGGTTCCTGAGTTATGATTGGATATAGATAACAAGGAAAAAGAGATAATTTACTCGGATAGTTATTTCGTTAAATGGTTTGATGGTACCGTCAAGAGATACAAACGATCTCATACCCGTTCTTTAAGATTAAGAAATATGTAAAATGCGCAAACTAAATACTTTCTAACCCAAGTCAACTGCAGTGAACTAGATTCAGTAATTAAACCGCATTGATTAATTTGCATTTATGTAAATTAATGGATAAAGCTAGGCACAATAGACTAATATATAATCAAAATATATAAAGCATTAGTACTAAAACTTACTAAAAAAAATAAAAGAACGTCTTCATATAAACTTTTTTGTTGCTCTTATTTAGATTTCCCAAAAGACGACATTATTGTCGGATTGTTTTAATTCTGTTTAAATTAATTACCACAGTTAACACTAAGACAAGATATATGATTACCCACAAAGGAAGAAACTTAAATGAGACCAAAACTCATTAAATATGGTCTTTTGTCAGTCTTTAAATATATACTAAATGAGTTGACAAAGAAACAAGTTTACAGTCGCAAGAAACCCAAAATATACAAGAATAACTGATTGATGTCCATCGACAGTCGTCTTTGAAGTCTATTTGTTTGTGGGTATATAACCCTGGAGATATAAAGCTTTAAACTAAAATTAGAAAAAGTATCTGACGGCCAAGTTTCATCTAAATAATTCTTTCTTCTAAAGTTTAAACTTTATATTTGAAAGTTTTCAACTACTCTGATAGAAACCCATATCAAATTCCAAGCTTTGAGTTTGAAAATTCAAGCCCCCCCCCCCCCTCCTCTCCTCACCCAATCAATTCTTTTCATATTTAGAGGCTTTTGTTTGCACAAATCAAGCACAATATATGCAAAATTCAATAAATTGCATCAAAAAAAAAAAAAAAATGGAAAGACATCAAACTGAAAAACATAAAACAAGGCATGATTAGACAGATTTAACTTTAAAACGGGACCGACTTAAAGTTTATTCAGAACTTTGCCCTGTTACCGAATCCAATCTGATTAGCCCTGGATTAAAAATATATTGTAAAGCAGGCAATTACGATTATTTATTCTGTTTTAAAGGGACAGTTGGTAAATCCTAATTAAGGAACTCATAACCTTTGACATTAGAACATAAATTTAAATCTTTACAATAAAGACGACTTTTCGATTTAAATTTTGATTTTCAACAAGTTCTTTTTAATTACAAGTCTGCAAGTAAACAAATAGAAGCTGTTGATAGCTTCTCTCTGTTTTATGCATATTGTATAATGTATCCATGCTGTTTTAAAGCTTGATACAAATCAAAATTAAAATCGAAAGTCGTCTTCATATTGTATTGATATATACGACTGTAAGTAAACTGACTTGAGAACGTTGATTGGAAGAACACACAGGAAGTGTGAAGAGAGGATTAACACTAAAAACTTCTGCGCTCTTTTCTCCTTGTGGATATCCAGGCTTTGTAGCAGCTCCTAGATCAATCAATCCATCAATAAATAAATAAATCAAATACTTAATCAATATATAAAACTTTTCCAGGCTTTGTAGCAGCTCCCAGATCAACCAATCAATCAATCAATCAATCAATAATTCAATCAAATAGTCAATCAATTCATAAATATGTTCCCCTTGTTGATATCCAGGCTTTGTAGCAGTTCCTAGGTCAATCAATTAATCAATTAATCAAATGGTTAATCAATTCATAAATATGTTCCCCTTGTTGATATCCAGGCTTTGTAGTAGTTCCTAGGTCAATAAATTAATCAATTAATCAAATGGTTAATCAATTCATAAATATATTCTCCTTGTGGATATTCAGGCTGATCCTAGCTCAGTTGATTAACCAATCTAACAATGAGTGAATCAATCAACTAATCAATACAAAATTTATCCACTAATCAAATAATTTAAGAATTAATTCCGTAATCATTCAATAATTTAATTTTATTATTTGATTCATCATTGCATTACTTAAATAATAGATAATTTAGTAAAAATCAAACCATTTAAATTTATACAATTATTGATGATAGGGATAGATGACTCTTTGGTTTTAAAAAAAGAAATGGATCAAAATAAATTTTTAGATTTTGAAAAGAAAAAAACAGTCACCTGACTTCTGTTCCCGGTTCTCATTGAGAATTCACTCCTAAAATATTAATCTCTTTAAATTCTACAATTTTTATTTCTTTGAAAATTGTTAGTTTTATGATTTTATCATTTTTTAGCTATTTTATTTGCTGACCCCCCCCCCCTCCCTACCTAATTTTAACTAACAAGAATTCTAAAGATCTTTAAAAAAGTTGTTTAAACAATTGACATATTTTCTATTGTAGCAACTCCAATAAAAATTGTTTTTTATGTTTAAAGTTAAAAACGGGAAATTTTGGCAACAAAAGGAAAGTGTAATAAAGAATACATGGTTTTAGAAACGAATGGTAACTAATTATTAGCCAGTCTGTTCAATTATTATTACTAGCAGTTAACACACAGAGTGAGAATAAAAAAGTCTAAACGAGTCTCCAGCCCTAGTTGACCAGCCTGACAGGAAACTTTAGAATTGAGATCAATGCTTGATCTTCTCTTTTTACTAATCAGAACACTAATTTAATCCTACGTTAATATTCGTGAAATGGTCTAAGCTGCAACCGATCAGATGTTGATTGTAGAAACCGAACAGACAATTAGAAGCTGAGCAGAACTCTTATTGGTTCGAAGGCAGCAGGGATATCCAAAAGAGAGGATTAAGCAGAAAATCAAAAGTGTCGACAGTGGATACAGAAATTTAGCAATCAGGATTAGGGGGTATCCTATACAAAAGTTTTCAGCTCTGGACTATACTCTAGAAACAGTTGAAACTAATTAATGAGATTCTTACTGTAAATACATTAAGAGTATTAGTTATAGATTAATAGCAATACAGATAGAACACTAGATGTCGTCTTTTCAAGATTTACGGGGTTTTCGTTCACAATAATCCTGAGGCCAAAGCCCAAAGGATTTTAAACAGGGTCTCTCTCTGTCATTCAACGAGGCATGGGCGTAACTCCTTTGTGCTTCTGCCTCAGGGTTATTGTGAACGAAAACCCCCTAAATCATGAAAAGACGACATCTAGTGTTCTATCTGTATTGTTATTAAACCATGGTATTAGTATTATGTTCTATTCTTAGTTTATCAATAGTTTCCTACTCAACAATTGACATCTAGAGATTCTCGATATATACCTCATACCCAAACAATACTCCCTCCCTCCTCCAATCCATACTACAACCCCAATTCCCACCCCCCTTGCTGCCTTTTATCATTATACCTATCCAATACCTTGCCCCTCCCCATCTTCATCATACCTACCCAATGTTGGAGCAGAACAAGAAGATGGATGAATCACAACAACGTATGTAACATCTACAGAGAGTTATGGAAACTGGAGAAGCAACCGAGGATACATATGACAAGATGTGTGATAATGAAATTAGAAAGAGCACAGAGCGCACAAATATGATGGAAATCCAGAGATAATATTTGAATGTGGCAAAAACTTGGAAACTCATATGCTTACGATGACTGGGAAACAATCCCAGTTAAAGATATAAGAAAATGATGGTTTCAAGAGAGGTAATAGCAGTTTTTCAAATGGGAGCAGCATGAGAATGATGATAACACGATTGACAATGTAGATAGGGATTACAGAGGCAAGAAAAATACAGCTGGAGTAAAAATAAAAGAGATAAACAGAATTCGAGAAGAATCAAAGAGGAAAAGGATAGATGAATCAAATTAAACAAAACAAAACTGGGATAAGGAACCAGAGACAGAAATCAAGAAAAATCAACAAAACAGCAGAAAAAATTCACAGAAAAATGGCGAAGAAAACCTGGAACAGATAGGCAAGCAAGAGAATACCTATTCCGTTGGAATGGAAGTTTCATACAAGATAAGGACAAGATAGAGGGGTGATTAATCATTTAAGAGATGATGATACCGGTACCATTCAAAGACGGAGAGAGCCATAGATTACGAGTCCATGAATGCAAAGTCCCAGTCAGCCTAAGAAGATATGTCCTGCTTGAAAATTGCATAATGCTTGGTCCAACAATACCAGAAGTAAGACACAGACCTTATCCATGGAACCATCATTGCCAAGAGTCAGGTCCATATAACTTCCGGTGCGCTATGCAAATAGATAGATAGATAGATAGATAGATAGATAGATAGATAGATAGATAGATAGATAGATACCTGAGAGAAAGAGATCCTTCATTGTCTTGTATATCCTGTAACCCAACTCCTGAAAACAAATGAAACCATTAAGAAATTGGGTTGGTTGATGGATCTTACACTGTTGTTCATCAGGGTTTGTGTACATTAATGTGCCCAAAAATAATTACTAATTTTGAAAAATTCCTAAAAATTTTAGGTTGACAGCTCTTCAATTCTATAAGATAATCGCCTCCCAAAGTTTTAAAAATTGCTAAAGAAAGTAAAAATTAAAAATAAATCATGAAAGGTTTTAATCAGGGAACTCAGATATAAAAATATCAAAAAGCAAATGATTGAAAGGCCCAAGAAACCGTAAAAATGCGTGTTTTTTATAAAAGAATCTGTTTTGGATTTTTTTTTCAACTTAAATCAGTAAATTTTTAAAAACTTTCAAATTTCTGTTTTATAATTATTTATTTGGGTCGGATAAATAAAAGGTAGGGAGAGAGGAACATTAATTGTAACCGTTTAATGCCCGTTCTTAAATAATTAAAGTTTTAAGACTTTTAAGAGGCGCTATACAGAAATCTGAGTTGTGAATCCTATTTCAAAATTGAATGCTAGACAGTTTTCTTTTATTACATTATGCAAAAATTTATTCTGGCGAAAGATATTAAACAAAAAACGTTTTTTTTATAACGATTAGAAAATCGTTTTTCTTTTTTAAAACCGTTTTGGGTTGCACGAGTCCTGTTTGAATAAATTAAGGTTTGGACCTGAGAGTTCTGTTTGAAAAAATTAAGGGTTGGACCTGAGAGTTCTGTTTGAATATGATTTAGGTTTAAATCTGAGAGTTCTGTTTGAATATTATTAAGGTTTAAACCTGAGAGTTCTGTTGTTTGAATAAATTAAGGTTTGTACCTGAGAGTCCTGTTTGAATATGAGTAAGGTTTGGACCTGAGAGTTCTGTTTGAATATGAGTAAGGTTTGGACCTGAGAGTTCTGTTTGAATATGAGTAAGGTTTTGACCTGAGAGTTCCGTTTGAATATGAGTAAGGTTGGACCTGAGAGTTCCGTTTGAATAAATTAAGGTTTATACCTGAGAGTCCTGTTTGAATATGAGTAAGGTTTGGACCATGGGAGTTCTGTTTGAATATGATTAAGGTTTGGACCTGAGAGTTCTGTTTGAATATTAGTAAGGTTCGGACCTGAGAGTTCTGTTTGAATATGAGTAAGGTTTGGACCTGAGAGTTCTGTTTGAATATGAGTAAGTTTGGACCTGAGAGTTCTGTTTGAATATGAGTAAGATTGTCCCAAACTGTCCACATTAAGCCCAGAGATAGAACAACGGGGACCAGGAACCTTTAATAATTAAATAGAAAAGTCGAGAATAGGATTAAGAGAAACGAGAAATCTAGTTTTTTATAGGGTTATAGTCAAATGTGTAAAATAGTCGATCGAGAAAACAATTAAGAGAAATTAGAAATATTTTTTAAATGATGTTTTACATCTGTCAAATATGTTTTTTAAATATAAATTCAATTATTTAAGGGGAATGTCCATGCACTAGATTTTATGTGATCCTTCACGTAAATTATTACTATGAACCCATAGAGTAATAAAACGAAGAGGAAAAGCTTAGCTCAGATGTACACAACCAAGGGTGTAATGCAAGGAAAGTTAATTGCGGTCGTGTATACTCTGCGTACACATTAAAACCAGTTCTTTTTGGGCGGAATTTGTAAACAAGAATAGATGCATCAGTGTTCGTTTAGTATCCGAGGAGGTTAAAAGAATTAAATTTTGGTAATTTTGATAATTCACATAATAGTTTCCTATGACCAGAATATTTCATTGATTTTTTAATGTGAAAGATGGATCCCATGTCAGGCTTTGACATCCGTTTTGTGTTTACATTACCGCCCAGAGACAGTACACTGCAGTACAAAAGATGAAAGATGTGCACACTTCTGAAATAACTTTCCTTGCATTACATCCTTGTACACAACCAAACTCCCTATTAATCAATTAATAGAGCGGTCGGTTGTATACATTACGATATGTTTACGTATCTATCGCTGTACACTTGTATATAGAGGGATCGTATTTCTAAGGAGTGGTTTTATGTAGATATTTGAATATTAGTATTGATTTTTAGATAGACACTGAATATGGATTGTAAACCCAGGATTGCATACTGGATATTTCATACATTGCCCTCCTTAAATCTATAAGAAACTACCTTTTTTTCAACATTGTTATCTAGTTTTTTTTGCAAAAGCAAAGGTTAAAATCGGGCATGAATCGGGCAAATAACTATGCTTAATAAATTGGTGGTCATCATATACTGCGTTGGTATTTTTTTCTATAGTTCATTTAAAGATGGTAGTTGAATTAAAATTGTGGTTTCTCTGTAAAAGTGACTGGCGGATTTCCTGCTACAGGAAAAAGAAAAGAAATTGTAAGAATTAAACACAATCTAGAAATGAAATACGACGAGTTCTTTTACATTATTGATAACAGATAACGGTTGAAAGAGTGGAAAATTGAGAATCCAACATGTCCCTCTCTAATATAAGGGTTACATAAAAATACCACGACAGTCCCTATAAATTATCAAAAATGGTGATTAAACTTACAAAACAACAAACATCCCTCGCATATAGGGGGCCACGTTGTTCTCCATGTTCACGGCGCACATCTGACCTCCTTTAAATGCTAGTCCCAGACTCTGAAAGAACAAGAAATTATTTTTTTTAAATTTTCTAATCAGAAGTTACTTTTAATCGAAAATACTGTGGATTTTTAAGGAACAACAATAAAAATTAATTTGACTGACGGTCACGACGAAATTTCAAGTGTAAAAATGAGGAAAATATTTATCTATTAAGTTTGGGTGTCTGATTGTCTGTTTGTCTTTCCGGTTGTATCCAATAAACGAGAAACGGCTGAACTGATCGGGCCCAAATTTTGTGTGGGACCTTACGTGTCCCCAGGGAAGGTTTATGAATGATAAAAATGTCAAAAATTAGCCTCCAACAAAATTCTATTTCCATTAAATTTTGAAATTGCACGAAAGTTTTTTTTATAAAATCCGCGAATTTTTTTTGTTTTTGTTTAGCAATGAATACAAGAAGAAAATGTTCACAATCAAAATAGAAGATGGGTGCGAGCGCCCTAAAAGCCTAGTTTATTAATTGTCTGTTGTAATTAATAAAGTCCATTTATAATATAATATAATGTTTATAATATTACAACTTATTAGTTTACTTCACATTTTTCTAAGAGAAAAATTAAACCTATAGATAGTCCGAAGGTCGGAAACTTATATCTGATGGTTACAATTTGCATAAGCTTCTAACTCCAGGAGCAGCTAAAATAGAGGGAGGAGTAGCAGCTGAATCGTTCTAAATTACAGCAGCTTTAGCAGAGGATAGTTTGGGCCTAGCCTCAGAAAAGATGCCTAATCTCTAGGATGATTATTTATCTCCTGAGAGATCTCTTCCTATAGTTCTTCTGGTCCAGAGCTAGAGCCTGGAGAATTGCAGGTTCAACCAGATGAACCCGATCAAGAGAAGCCTATACCGTGTTAGATGCAGAGCATCCTCCAATGCTCCTGGTTGAGATAGAAGATGGTGAAAGAAACGTGTTCAAGCAGCTTTAAGGAACTATCAAAATACAGGACTGCACATAGCCGCATTTGGAGAAATTAGTCCTTGAAAAACGTCAAGTAAACCAATAAGAGTTGTGTTATAAAATCAACTTTAATAATTACAACAATAATACAAAGCTATAGATGTGTCAATTTTTTTTCTTTTGCATTTGGGTAGTACCGCTGCGAATTGGAACTCCATAGTTCTGTCACTTGAAATTAAAAGTACAGTCTCTTTGACTGTTAAGATAATTTGTACATATAGTTTTTAAAGAACAGATCTGCAACAAAAAGTGTTTTTGAAAACAAACTCTAATTATCATTATTTATTTCGACACCCTGTATGCTAAAAACTTTGCATATTACACTGTTTCTTCACTCTAACTTCAACAATTTAGTGTTGAGAAAAGTTTGCACAGGTAGCCTTCAAACTTTTTAAACAGGATAGCAATTCAAAATATTTCAGGGATATATATTTTCCAATTTTTATTCCCCCCCAAACAAAAAACTTAAAAAATTATAGCCACACCTTAGGGGAAACTAATTAAAACATAGTTCCAGACTTGCATCAATTTTCCACTGTCAGCATACTGCTTTGCCATATAATTTGATCTCACAAATTGATCTTTACTTTTTGGAGCCCCAGATATTTAAATCTCAGAAGTATAGAGCACTTATTTTTAACTTTAGTTTTTGAGAGGTAACTTCTTTCGAATTTTGCGTGATAGCTAGTAACCTATAAATCACTGTGAATAATTATTCAAAGTATACCCCCCCCCTCAGAAAAAGCTTGTGTGTTTTCAAAATAGATCCTTCCCCCTCTCCGGGGAAGTATGTATGATTTCAAAATAAAACCCCCATTCCGCCACCTCTGGGAAAGACGATAATTTAAAAGGAGTTTGTTTACAAAATATATGATATTTATAGTTATATACCCCTAAAATATTCTTAAACTTTAGTTTACTAGAGTACTTCATGTAAAGTTAATGTTTAATAGCTTGGAAGAAAAGTGATAAAAAAACTAAAACTTTAAACTCAATTTTTTGCAACGTTTACAGAGGGACCCATAAAACTGTTGAATAGGAGGGTGAGACCTAAGTAATCATATAGGTATTTGATTTTGTTCTTACAAAATTAACTTGACCAGTGAAATAGGTCTGTATATACTGCACAATTGCTTTATTTCGTGTTTAGTGGATTGGAAGGAAACATATGAACTTATATCTTAAGCAATGAATTTATGAACTTACATCTAAAGAAAGAAAGGATAAAAACTTACATATAAAGAAAGGAAGGATATGAACCTACATCTAAAGAAAGAAAGGATATGAACTTATATCTAAAGAAAGGAAGGATATGAACTTACATCTAAAGAATGGAAGGATATGAACTTACATCTAAAGAAAGGAAGGATATGAACTTACATCTAAAGAAAGAAGGATATGAACCTACATCTAAAGAAAGGAAGGATATGTACTTATATCTAAAGAAAGGAAGGATATGAACTTACATCTAAAGAAAGGAAGGATATGAACCTACATCTAAAGAAAGGAAGGATATGAACTTATATCTAAAGAAAGGAAGGATATGAACTTACATCTAAAGAAAGGAAGGATATAAACTTACATCTAAAGAAAGGAAGGATATGAACTTACATCTAAAGAAAGGAAGGATATGAACCTACATCTAAAGAAAGGAAGGATATGAACCTACATCTAAAGAAAGGAAGGATATGAACTTATTTCTAAAGAAAGGAAGGATAAGAACTTACATCTAAAGAAAGGAAGGATATGAACTTGAGATATGGTAGAACTAGAATAAGACTAAGAATCCAGGTGAGGGGAAGAAGAAGTCTAGTGGGAACCCAGCTTGTCTGAAAATACAGTTATAATTAGTAGAAAGTCGTCTTTATATCTTTAAATTATCAACTAAAGGGACTGTACGCGTAATTTCAAGTTACCCTATTTGTATAAATTGACAATGTTCGATTTACAATGGTACTCCAAAAAGCTTTGATTGATCGCTGAATTAATATTAATGCTTTTTTTTTAACTTTTCATTTTTATTTATGGTTCCTCTGTAAAAGTGACATTTTGAGTCTAAACGTTAACTTTCACATTTTTAATCGGATTATTGTTTCAATGCTACCGTATTAAATCGGGCATTGTCAATCATCTTTGCATAAAGGGTCACTTGAAATTACGCTTACAGTCCCTTTAAGATAAAAAGTTAAGAGTTTGCTACGGTTTTATATCTTTGAAAATGTTCAGCATACAAGTTTCCTAACTCAATATCTCATATAGTTTATATTTGAAAGATTTAAAAAAAAAGATTTTTTCTGTTTATCATTGAAAGTGAATTTTATCTTAATCTGGGCCCTGTATGAATTGAAAATCATAAAATTCAAGGAGTCACTATTTTTTTAGTATTTTATCATATTCATTAGGGGACAGTCATATTACAGATTTTACAATATTCCTTAGATCTTTATTATATTTATTATATGTCAGTTATATATCAATATTTTTTACTTGGAATCTGTTTTTATTTGCGTTTCATTATATTCATTGAGTTAGTCGTTACCAGATTTTTAGACTTATAGTCATTAGGAATAAATAATTTTTCATAATTATTAATAATATTATCAAATCTGGGTCAGCTATTTACATTTTTATAGAATATTTATTATTATTAGTTTTTTAAGTGGTTTGCATTTATATAACAGAAATTTTGTCTAGACGCGCGGTTTTATTTTAATTCGGTCTTCTTAGGTAATGTCTTTAAAAATTTCTCAGGCCAAAAATATTGTTAAAATAAACTGATAGTTTCAAGTGACCCTCATTGTAAAGATGGAAATGCCCGATTCACAACGCTGTACCCTAGGAACCAGTGTCAGGTCAATAATGTGAAAGATATTGTCGTTTTCCGCGGCTTTCAAGTATTTAATTTTGATAATTTTTTTAATTTTTCCTGCAGTAAAGAAATATCCAAGTCACTTTTGCAGAGAAACCGCAATTAAACCAAATCAGTTTTCAAAATTATTAACGCTGATATCTATTTCATACTTGATCAGACAAAGCTTTTAAGTGAATACCGGTGTAAATAGGGAATATATTTGCCACTGATATTATGCTTACAGTCTCTTCCATGAATTGTATTGTATTGTATTGTATTTCTTTTATTTGGAACTAAATTAAACTTTAGAATCACTTTCCGGGTTCTTCAAGACTTCAAATATTTGAGTGAATGAATATATTTTATAGTTTTGTTTGTTAAACATAAGTGTATAAATACAAAGGATGTTTGGGTCCCAGTGTATAAAAACAAAGGATGTTTGGGTCCCATTGTATACATAAAAGGATGTTTGGGTCCCAGTGTATACATAAAAGGATGTTTAGGTCCCAGTGTATAAATACAAAGGATGTTTAGGTCCCAGTGTATAAGTACAAAGGATGTTTGGGTCCCAGTGTATAAATACAAAGGATGTTTGGGTCCCAGTAGATAAAAACAAAGGATGTTTGGGTCCCAGTGTATACATAAAAGGATATTTGGGTCCCAGTGTATAAATACAAAGGATGTTTGGGTCCTAGTGTATAAATACAAAGGAAGTTTGGGTCCCCGTGTATAAATACAAAGGATGTTTGGGTCCCAGTGTATAAATACAAAGGATGTTTGGGTCCCAGTGTATAAATACAAAGGATGTTTGGGTCCTAGTGTATAAATACAAAGGATGTTTGGGTCCCAGTGTATAAATACTAAGGAAGTTTGGGTCCTAGTGTATAAAAACAAAGGATGTTTGGGTCCCCGTGTATAAATACAAAGGATGTTTGGGTCCCAGTGTATAAATACAAAGGATGTTTGGGTCCCAGTGTATAAATACAAAGGATATTTGGGTCCCAGTGTATAAATACAAAGGATGTTTGGGTCCCAGTGTATAAATACAAAGGAAGTTTGGGTCCTAGTGTATAAATACAAAGGATGTTTGGGTCTCAGTGTATAAATACAAAGGATGTTTTAAAGTTTGTATTCTGAAACTTAAAAAGAAAAAAAATAGTTTTGAATTTAAACTAACAAATTTAATGGATGAAAGGAAAATTACAAACTTGTATCCATTGAAAGGAAATTTTTGAACTTCCTTTTAATGAAAGAAAAGTTTGGTAGTTACTTGAAAGTTACATCCAAACAAGGAATTCAATACTTATTCAATACTCTTCAAAGGAGAAAGGACGAACTCCTGATGATGCCAAAGTTTTTGGTGAAATATATTAAGATGAAAATGATATAATTCTGGCTAGAGATTAGGGTTGGGATTTGTTTAAAAACGATCTAAAGTTAAATAAGGAATTTGTGATCTTTCATCGAAAGGAACGAAATGTATGCACCTAAAACTTACTAGATGTAAGTTCATCAACAAAGAAAAACATTTATGAACTTCCATATTACAAAAGGAAAGTTCGTTAACTCAGAAAGTTAGAACTAAGAAAGGAAATTTACGAACTTGCATGGAGCTAAAACAGAAAGACAATTTATGAACTTAAATCTAAAGAAAGGCGAATGATATAAACGTACATATATCAAAATGAATGTATGAACTTACATCTAAAGAAATGAATTCATGAACGTTCATCTAAATAAATAAATTTATGAACTTACATGTAAAGAATGGAAACATATGAACTTATATCTTAAGCAATGAATTTATGAAGTTAAATCTAAAGAAAGAAAGGATAAAAACTTACATATAAAGAAAGGAAGGATATGAACTTACATCTAAAGAAAGGAAGGATATGAACCTACATCTAAAGAAAGAAAGGATATGAACTTATATCTAAAGAAAGGAAGAATATGAACTTACATCTGAAGAAAGGAAGGATATGAACTTACATCTAAAGGAAGGTTATGAACCTACATCTAAAGAAAGGAAGGATATGAACTTACATCTAAAGAAAGGAAGGATATGAACTTACATCTAAAGAAAGGAAGGATATGAACCTACATCTAAAGAAAGGAAGGATATGAACTTACATCTAAAGAAAGGAAGGATATGAACCTACATCTAAAGAAAGGAAGGATAT